TTGGCATACTTGCGGTCCGTGGCGGAGCCACGGATTGGTGTAGATGTGGTGCGGTGACGCAGTGTGTTTCTACGCTGAGGCTGTTGAATTAATCAGTTGAAAGTTAGCGCTCTGTAGTGTCTGTTCTTCCTATGTCCCTGTCTTCAAGCGCAATCATGTTTTCTAACCTGTTACTGTTTTGAAAAAGTAACGAATTTGTTACTACGTTACCGAAAAAAGGAAAGCATTACCAGCAGCTGCGTTACTTGTAATGTGTTACCGCCAACGCTTGTTTTGACCTCAAATGAGGATTGTCCGGCACACTATATTTGGGAAGAGAACGTCTTTACTTCCTTTTTGCCTCTCGTGCTTGTGGCAATGGTTGCAGTCTTAAAAGGGATGCTGAACCCAAACATTTCAGTGTCTACAATAAGCGTCGCACTATCTTCTTTGATGAGTCGGCAGCCCTTGGTGTGCACGAGCACACGCAACGAAATTGACGTCATGATCATCATAGCCCCCATTCACGCTTAATAAGCTCGAATGGGGGATATGATGACATAAACGTTGTAACCATTGACCCAGTAGGGGGCGCCGCCGCGCCCCTGATAAATAAGCGTGCGGCAGCAGTTGCTGCAAGGATTCTGCACTGAGACTCGAGTTGGGTGTCGTCAATTATGACAACTGGCGACGAGAGATAAAGCACGCTGTCACGCAGTGCCTGGTGCCGCGGCAAGATAGCGCGGAGCGGGTGGGGCTGGCAAGACGTCGCGGTGCTGAACAAGTTGGTCGACGACTGCAACTTCGGCACTACACGTGACTGCATGATGAGGGACCAGATATTGTCCGGCATTAACGGCACGGGAATGCAGACACAGTTATTGGAATTGTCAAGCCTGAACCTGGAGTCCGCCAAGCAGCTGGTCATCGCAATGGAAGCCGCAAGGAAAGACGCTCATGCCCTGTGTCCGCCGGTTACGTCAGCGAGCACGGTGGAGGCCGCAAACTTCGTCGAACCACCCAGAGGGGGATGCTGCCCACGCAGCTGAGCGGGGCTGTGTCCGGTGCAGAGATAAACACCAGACGTCCTGATGCCGACATCGTGCGAGCACCTGCTTCAAGTGTGGACTGCAGGGACATATCGCAAGGGTATGCAGAGCGACAGCGACTAGCCCAAAGAATTGAGCGGACTGTCGTTCCGTGCACCAAATGGACGACCTCCCGGAAACACAGCCCGACATCGACGAGTGCACTATGTGGTCGCTGCGAACAGCGGGACCCGGGCCCATGCAGATCGAAGCCATCGTGAACGACGTGCCGCTGGTGATGGAGCTAGACACCAGTGCCAGCGTCTATATAATCGGTGAGCCGAAGTTTAATGCAATCTTTCCGGGAACGTCGTTGGAACCCTCTGAAGTGAGACTGAAGAGCTATTCAGGCGAGCTCTCAGCGGTCCTCGGGAAGATTACCGCAGCAGTCAAGGTGGGGACGTGCGAGTCGACGCTGCCGTTGTTCGTTGTGAAAGGCTCATGCCCGACGCTCCTGGGCAGAGACTGGATGGAAGCATTCAAGATTACCATATCGAAGCCTGAGGGGGTGAATGCGGTCAGCTCTGTCACAAGCTTAGTTGAACAGTTCAGTGAAGTTTTCGCCGAAACGCTCGGACATTGGAAGGTGTGTCTGCAAAGATTGTTCTGAAGGAAGGGTCAAACCCAAATTTTTTAAAGCAAGACCAGTGCCGTTTGCGCTCTGAAACAGAGTCGTGGAGGAATTGCAGCACATGCAGCGTGAAGGGATCTTACGGCCCGTGAAGACATCGCAGTGGGCCGCGCCAGTGGTTCCAGTGTTGAAACAGGATGGCCGCGTGCGCCTTTGTGGCGATTTTAAGATCACCATTAATCCAGCGACGGTCAGCGAAAGCTATCCGATCCCGAGGATTGAGGAACTGTTTGCAAAACTGAGCACCGGGGTGAAGTTCACCAAGCTTGACTTAAAGGACACCTATCAACAGGTCCAATTGGATCAATACATTAAAGGGCCTTTTCCAGTTTACAAGGCTCCCATTTGGCGTTGTGTCTGCCCCTGCATTGTTTCAGCAAGAAATGGATAACCTTCTGGGCGACCTGCCACACGTGGCAGTCTATTTCAATGTTATACTCGTGACCGGTGCAAGTGACGAAGATTATTGGGAAAATGTTTGCCGGGTTCTCGGGCGCCTTCAGGAGGCCGGTCTTCGTCTGAAGCTAGCCAAATGTGAGTTCATGAAGGAGCGCGTAGAATACTTGGGACATGTTATCACGAGCAAAGGATTGCTTCCTATCTCCTAGAATGTCAAAGCAGTCCTCTTGGCTCCAAGGCCGCAGGACGTTAAGACCCTTCAGAGCTACCTGGGCCTTATTAATTTTTATCGGAAGTTTATTCCCAGACTGTCGGCAGTACTGCACCCGCTGAATCGTCTGCTGGTTCCAGACGTGCGGTGGTTTTGGACGTCACCTGAAGAGGAGGTTTTCTGCCAAAGCAAGGCACTACTGGCATCAGCAGAAACTGTGGCTGATTTCGATCCCAAGAAGAGGACAGTCCTGGTCACAGATACATCGCTGTATGGTCTCGGTGCGGTTCTGGCTCAGAGAGAGGAGTCTGGAGAAGAGCGGCCTATCGCATTTGCATCACGGAGCTTGGTTGTTGCCGAGCGGAATTACAGCCAGCTGGACAAAGAGGCACTGGCTCTGGTGTTTGGAGTGACATGTTTCAAGCAGTATCTCTGGGGTCGTTCATTTGAGGCTGCCACCGATCATAAACCACTCCTCGGGCTCCTGGCAGCTGACAAACCGATTCCCGAGTCATGTTCGCCACAGGTCTTATGTTGGGCATTGTTCTTGTCTGGGTACAACTACACCTTGAAGTACAGGCCTGGCGGACAGGTCCCTCACACAGACGGGCTGAGCCGGCTGCCCTTACCTACAAGCGAGGTCCAGGTCGAGTGCCCTCCAGAGGTGTTCATGCTCCAAGGACGCTACCCAAGGGTGTTGTCAGCGCAGGTTGTCGCTGCAGCTACGAGTAGAGACCCGTACTTGTCACAACTGCGAGCTGCATTGTGCACGGGGCAGGGGGCACCCCTGGACCAGCCGTGGAAGCCATACGAGGCTCGGTCCATGGAGATGAGCATTCAGAGTGACTGTATTTTGCTGGGAAGCAGAGTGGTTATCCCCCAATGGTTGCAGAAAGAGGTGCTCCAGCTGCTACATGAAAGTCACCCAGGAGTCTTGAAGATGAAGGCAGTGGCCTGGAACCACGTTTGGTGGCCAGCTCTGGATGAGGACATTGTGGCAGCAGTGGAGGCATGCAGTACCTGTCAAGAAAATCAGCGAGCGCCAAGGCCGGTACCAGTCAGGCGATGGCCATTTCCGGAGAGGCCGTGGCCTCAGCTACATGTAGACTTTGCGGGACCCCTGAGGAACACCTATCTATCGCGGTCGACGCATTTTCCAAATGGATTGAGGTGTTCCCAGTGAAGACACCTTCGGCGTCCGCGACTGTCGAGTGTCTGCGGAGGATGTTCGCAATTCAAGGTCTGCCAGATGTGGTTGTATCGGACAATGGTCCGGCATTCGTCAGCGAGGAATTCAAGGCGTCTTTGCGGAGGAATGGTGTCAGACAGGTGCTGGTGCCCCTGTACCATCCTGCGTCCAATGGGGCCGCCGAGCATGCGGTGCAGACTATCAAGCAGAAGTTGAAGAAGGCCGCATCTGGAGACCTTCATACACAGATAGCAAGACTGTTGCTCTCATACAGGACAACGCCGCATGAAGTGACTGGTTGTAGTCCTGCTGAACTTTTGATGGGCCGGAAGCTCAAGACCGCACTGAACTTACTGCGACCAGATCTTCGAACTGCAGTGAATCTGAAGCAGCTCCAGCAGAACGTACGGAACAACGAAAAACCGAGACTCGTGGATATCCAGCTCGGGGTGCCAGTGTACACCTGTAATTTCCGACCAGGCCCGAGTTGGGTGCCGGCTACTGTGGGGTCCGACAAGAGGTTTGCGTCGTCGCTGCGGCTACCGAATGGCCGAGTGTGGACAAGGCACCATAATCACATCCGTGGAGCACCACAACCCCACAGCTTGTCTGGTGGCCCGGGACCCTCACTCACCACCTGCCTAAGCACGGCCAGTGTCGAATCATCTGCTGCGGACACCAGTGAACTTGCTGCTGACGCCACTGCTGCTCCAGCTGCGTGTTCTCCGGAGGTGGGCGCCGAGTTGACTGCTGTTTCTGGAGACAACAGGCACCAAGGTGCCCATTCCAGTACAAGGACTGGGCTCACTGTTCGTCCAGAGCCAGCGATACAACCGCAGACTCCAGTTCGTCGGGGCACACGAATAAGGAAGCCGGTGGTTCGGTTCTCGCCTTGAAGAGTGTGATGAACAGTTACCTTGCGTTGTTCCAGCATGTTGTTAATTTTTTTTACTGCTAGTTTTGTATAATGGACGACTCTTAATAAGAGGGGAAGAAGTGTTGTAACCGTTGACCCGGTAGGGGGCGCCGCTGTGCCCCTAATAAATAAACGTGCAGCAGCAGTTGCTGCAGGGATTCTGCACCGAGACTCGAGTTGGGTGTCGTCAATTATGACAGTAAATTTTGTTGCATATATCATTGAAAGATAGTGCGCTATTTATTATAGACACTGAAATGTTTGGTTCAGCATCCCGTTAACGTTAGTGGGTATTTCAAACCAATATTTTGCCCGCTACAGAACCCGCTGCGAAAGGTCAAATGATGCTTCCATCACTGACTGTGCTTTGTGTCATGAATTTTAAATGCAGTGTTGTTGCTACTCATAATATATTTCAGCTTATTTATGACATACATATAGAAGCTGTGAATCGTTCACATCACTGGCTGTTTATCGATGAAATTGCAGAGTACAGGGGTACATGTGTTCTAAAAATGCCATGCACATTCACACAGCCATTGTTGACATGCTCAAGACATGTGTCCTTTTTCAATTCTATTTTTCAGGTGTTCATCACACCACACATGTCTGGCCCATCACGACCACATGAGGTGAGGAGTATCAAGTTTCTGATTGGGAATCTTAACCTCGGTTGTTAAGGCTAGCTTTTATGCTCCTTTTCACCTTACGATGTACCTCAACGGTCGTTAAGACTCACGAGCTGTGTTAGCCAATACAGCTCTTCACAGACTCCGCCGCTTCTTGGCTCTGGATCTCTCTGCTCAAGCTTTCTTGGTCACCTTTGGCCTTTGAGGGATGTCTTCAGGTTTTAGGCAAATCCGCTGTCTCTTCGAAGTGTTCGAGACATCTGCAAAGCTCCTTTAGTTTCATCCAATCATCCCACTCTGTCAGAACTACAAGCCATGCCACTTTTGCCATGATTTTAATGCAATCAGATAAGATATTGGAAGCTCCTCAAGCTCCTCAAGCAATCTCACTTTCCTAGTGTCCAGATAGACGTCGAAAAGCATCCTGGCTCAAACGGACGCAGACCACCATGCCTTGTCCAGTATTTTGTCGACTTCTCCGAACAGCTTGCGGAGACGGTTTGTAGACAAACCCCATATTCCAATATGTGCCACTTCAGCTCCCCGAACGAACTTAGGCCCCGCGTCAGGAGCCTCGTGGCCTCTGCTGTGCATTTGTGCAACAAAAACTGCAAGACTAGTGCTTCTCAAGCACGGTAAACTTTGAAAATAGATTCAGCATTGCCAAACCACAGAGGTAATTCCACCTTCGCGTGCGGCATCTCGGGTATTACATCACGCAATAACTTTAAGAGTCATAGCACGTCGTCCAACTTTGCGTCCATTTCAGAATTCTGCTGCACCGCCATCACGGTTTCAACGCACAGCTCCTTCACGGGGAACTAAACTTGATGGTGCAGCAGTCACGTTGATCAGTTCCAAATTTCAGATCAGGCCCTCACCAACTCGAAACTGTCGTTCCAGTCTCTCGCCAAAACAAAGGTGCCACAACGCCCGGCCGGAGTCGCCGTCGGTAGCTGCGAAGGCCACCCGCTGCCGCCCGAGAGCCTTTAGACAATTTTCAGTACGCATTGTTCGTCGCATGGATGCTTCCCAAGCGATCGGAAACACACACGGCCTGGGTCCTCCGACGCTCACAGCTTATGAGTCCCAGCATCCCGGCTCCGCTGCTCCCAAGGTGGCCGCCGCCGTCTACCTGCTTGTCACCACCGAACCCGGCTGCCAAACTTGTCGACTGCACCAGTAGGGTTCTTGACGTGGTGCAGAAAGGCGTCGGGTGTCGAAAATCCTTTCCCTTTGATCATGTCTGGTGACTTCGACGGAGAGGCAGTTGCAACGACAACTTTGTTGAGCGTATCTACATTTATTTAACGTGAGGTGGCGGACGACACTGCCTGCGAACACACTTTGAGACCTCCCCCACCCAACTCTCCGATCCCCTGCCATGGGGTTTTGCCTCCGTCCCCAAGAAAATGACATTCCTTCTGCAGGGCAGCGCTTTTCGTGCTCCCCTAGCCCACAACTGCCTCCCCCCTTTCATTGGCGAGGGGGGCAGCTGGTCCACTTCCGAGGGGTTCTAATGAAAAGCAACCCCCACAACAACAACAACAACAAAAAAAAAGAAATGGCTCTCTGACTTTCACACCTGGCTTCACGTTTTGCGTGGCTCCGATGGCTAATGGCATCCGCTGCAGTACATTGTAAGGTGATTAATTCAAAATAAGTATTTATTCCGTCAAAAAAATACCAAAGCACAATGTTAGCATACTACCTTACAGAAGATTTCTAAATTCTTTATGCCTGTCCTTCTGTGTAGGTTTCAAGTTCATTGTGCTCGTGAGTTAGTCTACAGACTTGTGTGAGACTAAAGGCCCGTTCACACTCTTGCGACCTCTTTAACCTGGGTTCTTTAAAACTTCTTAAACCAGAAAACACACTGGCGCCATTTATTGGGAAGCAGTGTAAACTCGGCGGTCCGGCATATTTTTTTTATTTCTCGCGCATTATCTTTTCTTTCTTGGCTCGAAAAACTTTTGTCAATGTTAAAAACGAGCCTTTCTATGGGTATTACGCACATTTGACCTCGGAAATCCCGCAAAACCTTCGCTCTTGTGAAATGCAGTTCCAGGGTCACCGCATAGATGGCGCCACAATGCCAGTGTGTTCCCTCATTCTCAAAACATTTAAGAAGTTTTAAGAGATCTTGTCTCTCTCAGTCGTACTCGGTCGCAAGAGTGTGAACAGACCTTTAAGCTCTATTGATGCAAGGTATGCAACAAGCTTCTCTCGACCATCATAAAACTTTCTGGTCCTCCGTCTAAAACAGCTTGCACAAAAGTTTAGGACAAGAAAGGGTGTGGGACAGTAACAGCTCAATAATTTTAATTTCAAAGGATGCCGTTAAAGTTAGAATTATATGAACTTCAAACTAATGAAAGGCAGAGAAAACTGACAGAATTCTGCGTCTAAATGAGCGGGGAACCCTGGAAACTGACAACCCTATTTGTAAAAAAAATCAGCTCGTGCTTCTTATCTTGGAAGGTGACTTGCATCAGCTCGCATTCGAGTGCATGTACGTGGCGGAAGGCATCTTCGAGCTCTTTAGAACTGAAGAAGAGGCGCTCAACATTGAGCGCCTTCATAACCTACATTGTGCTTGGCCGGGCCGGCGTTTCCTCGTCTTCCCCGTCATTTCCTCTTTCACGGTGGGTTCTTCATCAACATCCTGCGTGACGATGTCCTCATCTGTCGTGGCATCGCACATTAGCGTACTGCTGCCCGCATAGACATAATCAGCAAAACCAATGTCTTGCAGCACCTTGAGCACATTCGCAGAAACGACCATATGCCGTCCGGGGTCGCTCTTCGCCTCCGTGCTTGCCACATTGGAGCCACATTGGTGAAAACAGTTAGATTGTTGCCGCCGTAACTTCATCCCAGGCACGCACCAGCACGTGCATCGCGTTGAGAAGCATCGCGGAGTACAGTTGTTCTGGTTCCTTGTGCACATAAAAAGCCGTTGGAGCATGCAGCAAGTGTGGAACGACTTCTTATCCTTGACGGCACCCTGGTCTATCGGTTGCAGAACTGCATTCTTGTTTAGTGGAGGGAAGGCTTAATTTAATTACCTTCAGCTCTACGTCTACCTTGCAAGCTGAGCAGTTGTCCACAATGAGCGGGACTCTTTGATCGCTCAATTCAAACTTTCTGTCCAGCTTCCTGAGCCACCTTTTGAACAACTCGCCAGTCATCCACGCCTTTCTGTTGGCTGCGTTGTCAGTCGGCTGGGAGCGGACGTTCTTAAAGCATCAAGACTTCTGCAGTTTTTCTATAACGAGGAGGGAAAGCTTTTCCGTCCCCCGTCTCTTCTGCAAAACCATGATGGTAACACACTTTGCTCCGCTTGCCACCTGCATGGATGACCCCCTCGTATGTGATTGTTTTGTCAAGCAAAAGCTTGAAAAACGAAACAGCCTTCATGGCATTGAAGGTGTCACACTGCGAATAGCTATTCAGGTAGTCCTGCAGGGATCCACTTTTTCACATAAGCACGTTTCCATGTTCACGACTTTACTTCCTCTAGACACCCTATGAAAGGCCACGTTGTGCCTTTTGCAGAAGCAATGAAATCGCCCTTCGGAAGTGGCATAGTCGTGGTTGTTCAGACTTAAAGCGAAACCGGCAGCCTTTGCCATGACAATGAGGCCGCTTACTGGGAGGTCCCAGCTTCTGGTGCCTCCAATCCGAATGATTTGCGCTCTCTTCAAGTCCAGGCACTTTGTCTTTTCCTGTCGGAAGCTTCAGCTTTGTAGGCACCCTCATTCGTCTTTTTGTTTCTAATGTAGGTTAACCTGTTCTTGGGGATCTCATACTTCTTTGCAATCTCAAGCTCGCTCGCCTTCCCAGTATCGAGTATGCACAGAATTTCTGCTTTTAAAGCGCAGGTTTTAGGTGCCCGTTTCCGGGTTGAGTGGCGTCGGCATAACCGTGCATTGCATTATGGGTTGTTTCCGCGCTAAATTTAACGGGGAAATTGACATCACGTGACTTCAACACCAACTCAGTTTCCCCACTAATTTTAGGGGGAAAAATTACTTCAGAACTTTGTGTTGTGTGACTTCAATTTCCCACTGAATTTAGCGGAAATATTCCCCCTCTAAATTTAGTGGGAAATTAAGAGAAAATTTCCTGCTAAATGGGAGGGGAGCAGGAGAGGAGGGGGAGAGGTTGAAAAGTGGCATACCCTCCCCTCCTCCTCAAGAGCTGCGCTCTAATTTGGCATTACAGAGAATCGTAAACTTCTTTCAATTTTTCCTTCGACGTTTTGGCACGGTATTTTCCTTGAAGTGATGGCAACGCAAAACCCAAGGGTCGATTCTTGATGTGGCTCGGACAAATATTGCTCGGACCCATTCACACACAATTCGGTGACTCGTAAAACAAAGGAAACAAGAAAAAATGACAAGAAAAAGTGTGATAGTCACAATGGTTGTGTCACCTATGACTCGATTATTAAAAGCTTCCACCGGAAGTTTGCTATGTTCACACATGGTGGCGCCGTTAGGTAGTGAGCAGTTTTAATTATTGGTGGTCAAACTATTTTTTTAATGAATTATTTATTATTTTTTATAGTGTATAGCAGACCTTTGTGCTTCTTGGTCGGACCACAACAGTTTGTTCAAATTATAAAAAAAAAAATTTATTAATGAGCCTTGAACATGTTTTCACTGTTGAGAAATTATTCATCAAAATAGCCTGCGATAAGCTTTAGTGTAAAAACAAAATAGTCAAATTGTCATTCTCAAATGCAATATGATATGTACTAACATGATTTTGGTATGTTCAATTCACTCTTTCATCTAGGTCTTAGGCATTCACAAGTAAATACGGGTTTAATTGACTGCAGAACCAATGAGTAAATAGGCAAGCTTAAAGGTCAAGAATCATAATACAAATATAAAATTACTATAGTACTAACTAGATTTCTTCACTGCCATTTCATAGTTTCTTAATTTATGTGCATGTCGATTGTTTTGTGCATTTTTTGTGAACATGGCTTTGGGCAGGGGTATCCCCAGGAATTGAAATTAGGGGGTATGTCTAAATTTAAGGCGGGGGGGGGGGGGGGGGGGGGGGGGGGGGACGGACGGACGGGACGGGACGGGACGGGAGGGGAGCGGGAGCGGAGCGGGAGCGGAGCCGGGGCGGGGTTGGGAAGTTTGGGGGAAGGGGCATTGAGGGTAAAAAAGTCATTGTGAATTAAGGGGGTGCCTTCAGAAAAACAAGGGGGGGAGGGGGGGGGAGGGTGTAGGGAAATCACTGGCTTGAGTCTATTAATAATTAATGGCCGAGGATATTTTGTCCCTGATAATTTACTCCCAGATGAAGTGGTCCAAAATGCCAGTGCAGACGAAACAGTGCTGTAAATGTTTGTGCCCGAATTGATCTCATGTTCTTACTGCCATGTTATATAACCAAATACCATGTAAGCCAATACTGGCAACTCCCGCGGATCACGGGCAAAAAGTGAATGCAGCGCCCTTGGCGAGCTCGGAGTCTCCGCTAGCAGACAAATTCTCCACAATGCATTGGTTTTGCCTATCTCCGTGCGAGGTGAGCAATGAAAAACAATTGTCACGGTTATTCGCTGCTTTGAATGTTAAAAAGTAGGTTCCCACCTCTTGAGTCAAGGACATTTTCTTCGCGATGGAACGATGTTACAGCTTGTAGGGTGCAATTATCGGGCTCTCCCGAAGAAAACATTCCGCCAGAAGACTCAGAACTTATGTCTGCTAGGCAAGACATGAATGTACCTTCGCTTTGTTTCTTTGAAAAAGGTAATCTAAAAAAATGTTTTAGAACATTGCTACGTTTCAACTTTATTGTGCATATCGATTAGTTCTTTTTGTTGTTGCAATTTCAATTTCCCATGATTGTATTGCTTGAAACCGTTTCGTCGAATAGGCGAGCTGGCTACATCCCGATCGTCTCCGGATAAAGAAGCAAAAGGCAATTTCGAACCACGTACCTTACTGCGATGTCAGTATGCTCTGGAAAAAGACGATTGTGCACTTGCAAATCTGACGCTATTACTGAAACTAATAAAAGCCTAGTTACAAAAAAGAACAGCCGATGGACAGTCGTGCACCTCCTTCCATTTTTCAAAGTCGACTTTCTTTTTATGTTTGAGGCGACGCTACGCCGCTGCGGTCGTTCTTCCTCCTGCATTTATGTTTTTTGCTTGCTT